GAGAGTGTGCACTACAGCACGGAATCAATACGGGGGGCGAGGGAGAGAGACAGTGCGAGAGAAGAGGGGGAGGAGAAGGAGGAGGGGGGCGAGAAAATGGAAACGACGGAGGAGGAGCAAACGGCGACTGAGATAGTTGGAGAGATGAGTGGAAGGGGAGAAGAGGAGAGCCGGAAAGGGGGTGGGGGCTCTAGTCCAGCTCCGGGGCCTGCGGGCTCTCCAGGCATGAGGTGGTCAGTGCTGGTGGGAGCCGGGGGGCTGAGCAGAGCTGAGCGGTCCTCTCAGCGGCGGTCCCCCGGACCGCACAGACACGACTGGTCTGCTCTAACAGACTAGACTTCTGTTTCCGTCGGGTTAAAAGTTGGTCGAGACCATGGTTGTCTGGGGTGAGGGTCGGAGATGGGGTGGTGGTGGAGAGGAAAGGGGGAGTCGCGGATCATAAAATAATCTGGGGGGGCTGAGGGCACTCTGATCAAAGGGAAACTTGCTCGGCGCTGTATGAAGCCTAGTCAGAGGAGAGCCGGGGAGTGTGGTGTGTTTAGTGCGGAGTGGCTGGCATGGCAGTGCACGGCAGAACAGTATACTGCGCGAGACTATGTCCAAAATCTACTGGGGAAGTTTCTCTCTCCAAAATGCCCACTGAAAATCTGTTTTTTTTTTTTTTTTTTTTTTTGTTAATTTACAACCTTTTTTTGTATCTAATTGACAAACATTTGTCACGGTTGCTCTAGAGTTAACACTGTAGACAAATCTCTTTGCCTGTGGCCTGAATCTATTGACACATTATTCTCAGTGTTTCAACTGTTGCACCAGGTTGCACCTCATAAGTACTGATACAATCTTAATCTTGTTGAATAAATTGTGACTTTCTTGTAACCCCGCAGTATAAAATATGCGAGCCTCAAGAGGTGGTTGCGGCGAAGTCATGGAGATCGCCGAGATAGTCCCGTTAATGTTTCCTCTAGCCTATGAAACTTATAAATAGTAATTTGCGGTACACAACAGCCAAGCACGCCCGTAAAACAAAAACGCTATGATTTAAATGACATTCATATCCAACTGCAAGCTTATCAGCTTGACTGTTTTGTCGCTAGGGAAGTCCAGGAAAGGTGTTACTACAGACACGTCATTGCGGTCATGCTGGCACCCGGCCTTCTTCAACTTCAGTATAGTTGCGAATTTTAAAAACGGTAAAAGTATAATGAAACGATAAGGCGATACCTGCGTTTTGCGAGTGCGTGTCAAGGCGAGGTGCTGTGCAAGTACAGGGTAGTAACTACCCGGTAGTTGTTGATTAGGTCCACCGCGACGGCCGGGCCCCACATCCCAGGCACACCACACCTACGCCTACGAAACGGAACCAACTACGGACGGAGAGAAGTATATTTACCTTTAATACTCCCACCACATCACACTGGATAGGCAAATGAAATGAGAGAACGCTAGTCCGAAATATGTTAGTGATAAGAATGTGTACATTTCATAATTGAGATACATGTTAGCAAAGAAAGAAAAGAAAATGCTATCTCAACCCGAATACATCACAATTATTGCAAGGTCATAGAATTAGTCAACACAGAAACCTTCATCTGCTCCATCTTCATGACGCTCCGAAGAGTTAAAGACATCAGCCAACATATGCTTTGGCATTTCATTTCCACGGACAGCCAGAGTGTAACAGGCCATTTCCATCTTTGACAGAGACTGTCTTAGAACTGACAGCTTACGAATAAATTCCCTGTTGCCAGTGTTACTAACACCCATGAAGCCAATGTAGATATCCCGTACGAAAGAACAAGCCTACAGGGAAAAGAATCAAAGTAATGACCTTGATGAAGGATGAAAAAAAGAACTAAAGTAATATAAAACCAATTGGATAAAATTACCTCATAACAGCTTTTGGTAGAACCTGTACCCAGGCTCTGGATACAACATCTCATCAATTCCCCAGTGAGATCACCAACGCCCAGAAAAAATTCAACTGGAACCAAATAAATGCTGTCCTCTTCATAAATTAAATTCTGTTGCAATTCATTCCAATGAGGTAACTTTCCATCTCTAAGATAAAATAGGAATGTTACAGCTTCGATATATTCTTGAACACCTACACAAAAGACAAATTAATTCAATCCAACTTAATTCAGTTTAAATAGATTTTAAAAAAAATGTGTGATTTTACCAGCAGAAAATGCTCGTATATACTGGTACTGATCTTGGCCTTTCAGTTCTTTTGCTATGTCCTTAAAGATAGTAGAGTTAAGTTGGCTGATACGATTTTGAGCCTCAGTTAAAACATTTTCACGTTTACTTTCCCTGAACAATACAAAACATTAAGATAGATCATTAAAGCATAAACAAAAACAAAAAAGAAACAGTTGGTAAAGACACAAAAAGTAATAATCACATACTTATCAATAGAATGGAGCAAAAATATTATTCTTTTGCTCTCAATGGTGGTGTCCCTACTGAGCTTCACAAGACGCTCATATCTATCGTGTTTGGCGTCCAGCTCTGTAGCAAACTTCCGAAAGCTTTGAATCACTGGCGAGTTTTCATCCAAGCCCTCAATGACCTGCTTTCCTCTTTCTCCAACTTGTGGCCTCCATTGACGATGACCACCTCCACGTCTACCCCGTCCATGATGACCTTTGCAAAGACAAGAAAGAAGAGATGAACTAACTAGCACAGATAAGTAAATATAAATGAGAACCTGACTTCTTACTAAAGCAAGAGACAAAATATACAAAAATGGAACCATTAAAAGAAAGAGGTGATGAGGGGCATTGACACATTCAGAGAGTGAACAGTTTCCTATTCATCAATAACTTGGGTTTTAACTAGGTATTGTCTACATTATTGAAATTTCTAAGTTAAAGGTGTGTACGCCGGCAACAGAAGCACAAGACACACTAGAGAACATGAAGAATGTGTAGAATTAAGAAAATTTACCATCCCTGTGACTCATGTTTCCGGAAGATTAGGACATTCACTTCGTAAAGCAATTGCCAAAACTGCAACAATGAATTAAAAATTAACTCGTCGGCCCGTCTTGGCTTTTGGCTTCTGTTTGTTTTTATTTGCGCTTACAGTTTCAGTAACCTACGAAATGATTATTGCAGTCCATATTGACATTGAGCTGTAGCAAGAAACAACTTACCAACGTGACAAAGATAATGTTAAATTTTGATTTTACATTTCATGAAAAATTGAAGAGTTGCCACAATATTTCAGTTACGCATACAGTTTCTGCATATTCATTCTTTCATATTTTTAAAATCAGTTCTCTCATCTTCCCATAGTATCACTTTCTGACGACACTCAACATTAGCAGACTACAAACAGCAGAAAGAAACGTCAGTGCTAACGTCAAGTGTTGTTACTAAACGTGGCGAAATGTTCCCGACCCGGTATTTTAACTTGTATTTCTATGTTTCTAAGTAATGTAAATTGGTTTTCGATCTGGCCACTCTTTGAACTGCATTTTTAAACCTAAAGAAACCCATATAATACAGCAGTGTAACCAAGTCCTTGTCAATTATTGCGTTGTTGACATTTAGTGAGTGGGTGTTTTTCTCTGATTTTGTTGATAACTAATTTTAATCAAAAATGGGACTCTGCAAGTGCCCGAAGAAACGTGTAACAAATCAGTTTTGCTTTGAACACCGAGTAAATGTCTGTGAATACTGTATGGTAACAAACCACACAAAGGTAAGGATCAAAGTTTAAAATGAGTAGGTTATAGGTTCACTGCTATTACAAAGTTGTACATTGCTCAGGAATTGATTTATTCCGCGTAGTGTTGATTCATGGATATTATTTTTTTACAGTGTGTTGTACAGTCATATTTGCAATGGCTGCAAGACAGTGACTATAGTCCCGTTTGTGAATTGTGTACGAAGGAGTTGGCGCCAGAAGATTGTGTACGACTTGTTTGTTACCGTACGTACCTTGTACCCAGTTTCTATTTATGATCTTTAGTGTTATCATTTCCTCTTCCTGTCAGCTCATTTAATTTTTGTGTTGTAGATGTATTTCATTGGGCATGCCTTGATGCCCATGCGCGACGCCTACCAGCCACCACTGCTCCTGCTGGTTACACTTGCCCATTCTCTAATTGCACTCAACTTTTATTTCCTGCCTCAAACTTAGTTTCTCCAGTTGCTGATGTGCTGAGAGAAAAGTTAGCTGGTGTGAATTGGGCTCGTGCTGGACTTGGGCTACCCTTGGTCAGTAATTGGTAACTACTTAAAATTATGCTCTGAAAACTTGCACTGTGTACTCAACCACCACTGTTCTTTTCCTGTCTCAGCTCAGTGAAGATCGGGAAATTAAACCTCCTTCCGAGGGTCGTAAGTTGGTTACTGATGTTGGTGGAACCACTTCTGCCCAGATTCCTCAGCCCAACCATTTAAACAATATACCAACCAATGTCATGAACAACCCTAGAACATCTGAACGTGCACCTTCACCCCACTCTGTTGTAGATGTTGAGGACCCTATCTCAACATACAGTTATTCTGCTTCAGGTAATTTGTAGACAGTCCCCTAAAGACTGTCTCTACAAGAGGGCAAAGTCCCCTCCCTCCCCTCGAGTTGCTGGCTTGCTGGCTGGCGTTTTTTTTTTTTTTTGTTTTTCTTTCCTTTTCAAATACATGGCAAAAACATGTTGCTGGTATGTATCATTTACTGATTACTGAAGCTTCACTTTACTGTTATTTTGCATTTCAGGACAAGTCCCAAGGCGAGTATTTGAGGCTCTGGATGAATCCCGAAGTACTCTATTTGATCACGATGAAAATAAGTATAAGCGACGTTCTGCTGTTGATGTTTTCAAGAGGTGGTGGAAGTGAGTGCTCTACATGCTTCCTTTGGTACTTTAAATCTTCTGTAACTACAAAAATGGTTTTTCAACATTTTGCTGTTGTTGTTTTACCAGGCACCATGCTGTGAGAGGAGGATCTCGGTATTCTCAAAGACGCTGGATGATTGCTGGTGCTGTAATTTTTGCTATTGTTGTTCTTATCTACTTCTGTTCATGGGCTGGCAGAATAGCCACTGAAAATGACCCTAATCTGGATCCTATGCACAACCCAAATATTCATGTTCAAAATATTGAGTGAGTGCTGATCTTTGATCTGCTATGGCTATGTGAATAATATCCAAGTGTTACAAAATTGAATACCTAATTCACTTTGTAATGGCAATCATTTTATCAATGTATATTACCTATGTTGAGCTCATGGTGTATATTGTTGTCTTTATTATTATTTTTCTGATCATTCCTTGTATTTTGGCGGGATGATATTTCTCAAAGACTGAAATGATCAATTCTTTTTTGAAGAAATAATACAGACATCAACATATTTAGGTTTGATCATGTTAGGAGAGATCCTAGGGGGTAAACAAACCACCAAGTTTATCAGTTAGGTGCAACCCAATCACTTTTTGTGATTGTTAAGTTATTCCTTCCAAGCACAATGTATAGTATCAGTTTTATATTATTACACTCCTCTTCAAGCTCTTTGCATAATAGCAAGAGTGTTAAAGAGATATATGGCATCGTTGTAAATATGTAAAATTCTTATTACTTTTTGTTTTGCTTCGTAGACTGTTAATTTTTATCCAGTATATAAGTTAGTCAAATATTAAATTTATGTTTATTGATGGTACCATTGCAGTTAATACTATGGTTGTGTTATGTTTAATTTTTTGGATGTTTAGGAAAAGAGCAATTTAGCCTTTTGCTCTTTCTGTAGCCCCATTATAGTAACGATATTTGCACTGGAAAAATTTGCAGAGGGAAAATGGATGTGTTAGTGGTTCAAGACTGACTGTTTCTCACGAAATTATCTTTAGGTTTAATGAAATGTCAGTTGTCAGTTTGATAAAACCATTGGGATTTGGGGGATATGAAATTTTGTCATCAGAGGTTTCTCACTTTTAATCAATAAAATCAGCATTTAATTTTAAAAATAATTAGCGCGGTCTCATTGCCGGCTCCACGGGGTAAAACAACACGCCCTGCCCAGCATCATTTTTCTTTGAAAGACGGAAGGCTCGCGAACCTTATGGCGAGCCAGTCCTTTACGCCGGTCGGGGCCACCTTCATGAGCGTGTGGTACAGGGTGTACCGCCAGGGCTCGTGCACGTAGCGCTCCTTGGGCCGCAGCGACAGCAGGGCGTCCTCGAACACGCTGTGCAGCTTCTCGTCGGGCAGCTTGGTGGGGCTCTCGCTCGCCTTCCTGCCCATGTCCGATACGACGGACAGGTACTCGTGGAAGCGCCGCGGGTAGTCGCCGTAGAACTGGCGGTCCTCCTCCGTCATGGCCTCGTCCATCTCCCTGGCGTGGTCCTCGTGCGTCGCGAGGATGCCGCTGAGGTGCGTGAAGGAGCCCGGCACCACCTGCACCACGGGCACCCCGTACTGGGCCTGCTCCATGCGCAGGGCGTCGGCCCACGCCTGCAGCCCCGCCTTGGTGGCGGCGTACACGGACAGCGCGGGCAGGGAGGCCAGGGCGCAGTGCGACGTCACCACCACCACGCGCCCCCTGCTGCCCCCGGGGCCGTCCGGGCTCGGCCGCCGCAGCAGCGGCAGGAACGCCCTGGTGACGTTCATGGTCCCCGCCAGGTTCACGTCGAGCTGCAGCGACACCTGCCGCGGCGTCTGCCACCCGAACTCTCCGAAGACGAGGACACCCGCGTTGTTGACCAGCGCGGCGAGACCTGCGGTTGCGGTCCGGGGTGAGTTACGGTGAGTTACGTTCTACCTCCTGCTCCATGGGGGTTTCCCGTCTAGCGTGCTCCCCACAGGCTCCTGCGGCTAAAGGGTCTACTACGTATGCCTGGGGTCGCGGCCTGGCTGCTGGCTGCTGGACCACTTCATGTGGAAACATGGAAAACCCACCGGCTGTTTGTCGCCTACCGCAACTCAAACTGGCTCGGAAGCACCCAAGAACCGATGGGCTTTCCATATTTTCGCACAGGAAGACACTTCGGTGAGGTCCAGTGGGAGAGCTTGGCCGCGACCCCAGGCACCTCAACGCGACCCCAACATTTTTGCTCGCGACCCCAAGGTTGGGAACCGCTGTTAGAAGGCGCGGCGCGAATCCGTATACCACATAACACCGAGAGTTGCATTGCACGCATCAAAGTGTTGCGGGGCTGCATACTCATTCGGGGCCACGGCGGCTTACGGAGGAGGGAGTAGGCAAACCCGCTTACACCGCACAGGCAAAGAAACTCCCGGTACATACCGGTACAGGATGGCTGGCTAGGTGTCGATCCGGAGTACTTACTGAGCTGGGGGTCGTTGCGAAGGGCCTGCTGCACGGTGGCCACCGCGCCCTGCACGCTCCGCCCGTCCGTCACGTCGAGGGGGACGACGTGCACCCCGAGGCCGCCGAGCTTCCTCGCCCCGGGCGAGCCGGCGTCCAGGACGCCGGCGAAGACGGTGAGCCCGAGCGAACGGCAGTGGGCGGCCAACGAGAAGCCCAGTCCGCGGTCGCAGCCCGTGACGAGGACGGCGCGCGCGGCGGACGGCGTCCAGCGAGCGCGAGGCTGGAACGGCACGACGAAAAGCATGTGTTCATGTCATATGGCGCGGTTCAAGGCCAGCCGGACGGTCACCTCCCCGCGCGGGGAAAGTAGTATGTAGCTCGACCTACCCTCAGGAGTCGGGCGCCCACCCCAAACGCGACGCTCGTGGCCACCACGGTCGCCGCCGAAGTCGCGGAAGTCGCAGCCCCCATGGTTGAATCTGGGGCTCCTGGACAAGACAAGAAAAATACTTGAACAAAGGCGTCACTCTCGGGTGGGGCCCGGCCGAGGCAGCCAGAGGCCCGGCATGCAGACTCGGCTGATCCGGGATGCAGTGTTTGTTTGGCATCTGACCTGGCGGCTCACGCAACGCCGAAAAGGTGTTCCAATCACGGCGCGCGGCTGTGTCTTTTGATAAAAACGATCACGAAACGCGTTCTAAGGTATCGGAAACGGAACCAATCCCAACACACACACTCCGGGGGCCCGGGGCGCGCGCGCGCCGAGGGCAGACTGGCGGGCGGGCAAACGGGTTTGCGTTGACGAGCTCGGCGACAGCAGGCTGACGCGGACCCACACAGCTGCCCGCCCGGCTCTCGCTCTCGGGTGACTTGTGATGTCTACCGGTACGGTGCCGGCCGGCCGGCGCGAGAGAAGGGAAACGGAGGGGGGGGGGGGGGGAGGGGGTACAGGCTCCGATAAGAGTTTTTAAAAGGTCCGGGGTGTTGATCGTCGAGTCGCAAGTAAGCCGAACTGGCTGTCTGGCGCGCGTTTTCTTAACGATTACAGACAATGCACGAGGCAGACAAAGCTTCTGGAGTGGTCGGTGCGTGCGTGTGGAGTGTGGAGCGGAGGGGCGCAGGCTCGGGTCGCCCGCCTGGGCTGTCCACACACGTGCAGAAGGGGTCACTCGCGCTGCGGCTGACCGACCAGGCGACAAGGATTGAAATTCAAGTAGCGACCGCGCTGGCCGCGCGGAGCCCATGGCGGAGCCGCGCCCGCCGCGCCTCTCCACTCCATCCCGCCGCTAACTCCTCCCTACTCCATCGCGCCGCGGCTCTACGCCCCTCCCGACGGGCGGGATGGCCGCGGGCTGGTCTTGTTGTAGTTGGCGGCGCACGCGAACGCTCCACCTCCGCGCGACGCTGGGGCTCGCCGTCTGCGTCTGCGTCCTGGACGCCAGCACGAGCTCACGCGCACCCAGAAAATGGTGTCCTTAAACCAAGAAATTTTCTTTAAGAAAAAATACAAGGTACTTTTCGACCTTGGCTTAAGGTTTTTCCATTAATTTCAAGGAAATTAAGTTCATCTAAGGCAGGGGTCTCAGACACGCGGCCCGCGGGCCGCAAGGGCCACACTGGAGAGAGATGGTGTTATGTGATCGCAGTCAGTGCGAGTGAGAGGTCCGACTAGTGTGGCCCGCGTGACGTCTCAGTCTGAGACCCCTGATCTAAGGAAATTTTTACTTTATTTTAACGTCATTTGCCTTAAGTTAAAGACAATTTTCCTTGTATTTTTTTAAAAGGTAAAATTAGCGTTGACCCAACGCATTTTGCCTTGTTTCAAGACTACCATTTTCTGGGTGCGGGGCGCGGAACCCGGCGAGGTGGGGCCTCGGTTTGCCTGTGTTACGGACGCGTGGTGGAGCATTGATGGATTGAAGGTTGGGTGTACCCCCCACCCTAAATGTTGTGGTCGCTTAGCTTTCCAAAAATTTATGCACTTCTTTTTGATTGTGGTCGTCTTTTGGAGACCAGTTCTTGGCTTCCATGCTTGCCAAAACTTGGCGTTCGAAGCGGCAGAAAGTTGGGATATTAAAGTTCGGCAAATAACCGAAATATCGTCCAGAACACGGCCAAAATTTGTCAATCAACATTTTGGCAACATTTGCCAACATTTTGGCAAGCTGGGTTGACCACGGCGTTTTAGAGAGCCAACTTTTGTCTTGATCATTTTCCTTACGATCCCCCCACCCGTCGAGTTACCACTTGCGACTTGCCTTTACCAGCCTCGGCGATTGAAGGCCCTGGGTACCGATTCGTAAATAAGGACGGGGGCCGGGGGATCGCCACGGTATCCAGATGGTTTTAAAACCATCCTAGCTCCTCCGCGGCCGGGGCTGAACTGCAGCCGTGAGTCGAATGGGTTGCCGACCCACAGGCGCCTTCAGGACCGCGAGGAGAGGATCTCGTTGTGCGCGGTGGCCCGCCCCGCCCCACTCCGGATGGCCCAAGTGAATCATAACTCTGTTGCCGTGTTGTGATTTCGGCGGAGCGTCGTCGTTGTTACCTCAATGAGGCGGGCGAAAGTTACTGCCGACAGCTCCATAGAGCCCCGGCTAAGGCCCCGGCCCGGTCCTCCACACATAATGCTCCCGGCCTTTGTGGTGGTTGTGGGCCTCGTATGACTCACACATCAGTCGCAAGTCACCGGCGGGCAGCGTCGGGTAGGTCCAGTCCAACGCACGACGGTCCCGGGCGCCCGCCACTTTGGATCTGGACCAGATTTTGGACTGGATCAGGCAGGACCCTCTCTCTCTCCTCAACCCTAACCGTCGTGTAACGGCCCCGCAACGTCGCGACGGCGTTTTAACGCCGTGCCAATAACGATCCGACCTGACGCCCACCGAACTCCCCC